GGGGGGGATGGGGGGGGGGCTGGCGGGCGCGCGAAGGCCGGGTAGCCGCTCCAGCAGGTGGTCGGCGAGCTCGGCGAAGAGGTCGCTGCTGCAGGCGGCCGCCAGGTGGCCGAGCGCCCCGACGGCCCGCTTGCGCACGGCCAGGCGCGGGCTGCTCAGCTGCGGCAGCAGGCAGTGCAGGAGGCTGGCGTGCAAGGCGCCCAGCGGGGCTCCCAGCCTGCGGGAGCCGGAGGGGGCGTCAGGCCGGGCCCACCGGCCAGCAGCCCGGGCCGGGCACCGCCCCTTCCCGTCCTCTCCTGCCTCCTCCTCCCCAGAATGATGCAGCAAATGGAATGGCCCTTGAAAACAGGGGCCCTGCAACTGCGAGGAGTTATTTAAATTATTTATTATTGTTACAATAGAGAAAGCAGAGAGATTTGATCATCACATATTGTACGCAAATACTGACAGACAATATTGTACCCCCAAAATACATATAATCGATTGTGTTTCAAAAAAAAAAAATTAAAAAAGAAAGCACAGAGAGGGGAAGGAACTTCTCAAGGTCACTTGACCAAAAAATGCAGCGCCAAGACGTGAACCCAGGCATCCAGGCTCTCCGCCTGGGGAGAAGGCCCAATGGTGACAGGGGACGGGGGTGGGGCTCCAGCGAGGCTTTCCCGATTTCCTGGGAGTCTGCGGCTCGCCTCAACACCCCCGTCCCCCAGTCCATCCTCCTAACCAAAACCAGAGTGATCTAAAATGCACTTCTGACCTGGTCGCTCTCTGCTTAACTCCTTCCTTGGCTCCCTAGTGCCCTTTCAATAAGCTGAGCTCCGGACTCAAGACAAGGGGCAACACCGGGGAGTGGTTTCTGCAAAGGCAGAAGATACCTCCTGCCTGTCTCAGTAGCTCCTGTCCTCACCTTCAAACCAGGCCCTGCATTTTCTGTCCCGTAAGCATCCTGAGACCTTTTCTCCTCTCATTCCACACAAACTCATTGGCCTCACAGGCCCCTGGATCCCACATCTTCTCTTGCCTCTGAGCTCTGGGCGTCCGCCTTATGTCCACCCACACCCAGCTAAGTCCTGTCCCTCCCCGAAGGCTCAGCTCTAGCAGGACCTTCTTTAGGAAGGTTCCCCACACCCCAGCTGGGTTAGGGGGAGCTCCTATAGGCCCTGCTCTTATCCTTACTGTTGCACTTACTACACTCATAGTTTTACATGTGTCTCTGAATGCCTTTCTAGGAGCAACCGAGCCTGATCCAGCCCCACATTCCCAGCACTAGTCCAGCACCTGACATTTTTCTGGCTGTGGAGTAGTAGGTGCTCAAGTCATAGGAGGTTCTACTGACAGTGTGACCTTGGGCAAGCCACATCACCTCTCAGAGCCTGTAAGATTGTGACAATCAAGTTCTCTTTTGCAGGGCTGCTGGGATGATCAGGGAGCCCCAAGCCCAGAGCCTGGTGTGCAGCAGGTGCTGGCTCCGTGGATTTGAGTCCCTTCCTGTCACCTTTTACCCCCTCCTCCTCATTGCCCAGCGCAGCCTCCTGCACCTGCTCAGCATGTCAGACAGGATGTCCAGGGCTTCCAGCTGCACAGCCACATCCTCCTGCTGGGCGATGGCACTGGTGAGCTGTCCTGTGATCTTCCGGCACACGTTGGTAGCCAGTCCGGAACCTGCACGGGGCACGAGGAGGAGGCTGCCTTTTCCCTGGTCTGGAGGAAAAGGCAGCCTCCACCTCTGGTTTACATCTGCTCTGGTTGTGTTCCTGAGCACAGACAGCTAGGGGAGTGGAGGAATCAGGGGCAGGAAAATTTAAAACTTCCTTTCCCAGCCTCCCTGGACACTAGGAGTGGCCAAGTGACCCAGTTCTGGTCAGTGAGATATAAATAGAAGTTTTCTGGGGTCTTCTGGGAAAATGTGCACTTTTCTTATAAAGGAGAGGAGACATGGGCAGAGACCTCAACCCTGTCAATATTGAGCTGCTAAAATGAATTGCTGCAAAAACAGAGTAGCTGATCCCTCAAGAATTATTGTGTGAGAAGAACCACCCCCTACTCTTTTAAGATGCCATTAGTTAGTTCATTTCTCACAGCTAGAAGCATTCCTAATTGACACAGAGACATGAACTTAAATTGATCTGGGTCTGAATCCTCTGCTACTTACTAGCTGAGTGACCTTAGGAAAGTCCCTTCACTTCTCTGAGCCTGCTTTTTTAACCATAAACTGGGACAAATAATAATAGTACTTAGTCCGGGGGACCTGGGTACCTGTGGCTGCAGTGGGGAGCTCCGAGAGCACAGTCTTGAGGCCGATGCCGGCGATGTCTCGGAGCTGCTCCTTGTCTGACCGCATGTAGGCACAAAGGGTATCCACAATGGTCTCCACCTGGTACTCTTTCACTTTGCCCACCAGAGGACCCAGGCTGAGCAGGGGGGGAGAAAGGATGGTCTAAAAGCCCCAGGCTCAGCCCGAGTCAGCTACCTGCTTATGTCCCCTCATACTCCCTGGGCCACACGTGCCAAGCGAAAGGCCCTGGGTCACCAGGGGACCCTTTGTTTTGCCAGAAAGAGAGGTACTCTCTGGCTGTGCCAAGATTCTTGCTGGCACCTCCCAAACCTGCATTTTTTCCTGTGTTTTGCATCTCAGCCTATGGCAAATGGTGCCCCAAATGGCACCATTTGGTTCTCAAACTTGAGCATGTATCACAATCCTTGGAGGACTTGTTAAAAACAGATTGCTGGGCTCCACCCCAGTTTCAGATTCAGGAGGTCTAGGTGGGGCCCAAGACTGTACATTCTAGCAAGTTTCCAGCTGCTGCTCATGCTGGTGGTCCACAAATCACACGTTGAGAACCTCTGCCTCAGAGCCTTGCTTCTGAAAGCTCAGCTGTGAGTCAGCATCATCATCGTCACCTGGGAACTTGTTAGGGATGCAGAGTCTCGGGTCCTAGACCTCCTGAACCAGGATCTGCAGTTCCACAAGGTCCCCAGATGATTTGATTGCATATGAAAGTTTAAAATTGGCTGCACTAGACTCATTGGTTCTCAGCCTTGGCTGCAAAATGCCATCACCGGGGTCTTTGAAAAATGGCCACCTGGGCGCCACGCCAGAGAGTCCAAGTTCATTGGTTTCAGGTATGGCCTGGATGGTGGGACATTTTAAAATTCACCAGATGATTCTAACAAGCAGTCAAGGTTGAAAACCTCTGCCCTAAGAGTGGTTCTCAGATGCTGGTGTGTATCAGAGCATAGATTCCAGAGTGCTATATCCTCACCCTCCTGCCCCAGCCCTTCTCTGCTCCTCTCTCAATCCCCTGAATTTGAATCCCTGGGCAGGGAACACACAGTTTCAATAAGGGCCCCAGGGGACCGTGATGCATACCAGTTTTCAAACCTTGGCTCCCTCGACTTTTTCCTCCACCTAAGTAATCACAGAGTCCTCCTATCCTACCTCCTGTAGCACTGGTTCCTAGCAGGGGTGACACTGCCTTGGCAATTTATGGGGGAACTTAGTCATCATAACTACTGAGTTGACACTTCTAAGGAGAGCAGGAATGGTAGAAAGACAATTTTGCAAAACAAAGCATTGTCCATGTCTTGCAAGAGTTTCTAACATCCCACTAGGCATTCATATAAGTAAAAAGCCTTTCTATAATTATCTGAGTCTAAACTTTCATTTCATTTTATTTTATTTTATTATTATTATTTTTTAAAAAGATGACCAGTAAGGGGACCTTAACCCTTGACTTGGTGTTGTCAGCACTACGCTCTCCAAAGTGAGCTAGCCGGCCATCCCTATATTGGGATCCGAACCCATGGCCTTGGTGTTATCAGCACCACACTCTCCCGAGTGAGCCACAGGCCGGCACTAAACTTTCATTTTAAATGTAAACACAAAGTACTTTTTTGCATTGTTTTAATATACTTCAGATTTTCCAAGAATGCAATAATCAGGTAAACTGAAAAAAGATTGTTACTGTTTTTTGGGAAACTTTACTAGATGGTCACCACTTCAGAGAATCTGGCCACTAAGAGCAATGCTGCTTGGGATACCTGAGTCCCCAACTCCCCCTTCCTGCCCCCTGGCATGCACCTTTGCTTCCGGCTGGGTCCTCGCGATGAGCTCAGCCCTGGGTGCAGGCTTCCCATATTTTTAGCACCACTTCTACTGTCCCAAGGCCTGAGCACTGACATGTGAAACACACGCTATTTTACTATCAACTATGTTCCTTCTATTTCCCTTTATGTTACAGTTTAGGGCATTATGTATACTTTTGTAATTATGTGTAGAGGTAGGTTATCATGCAGAGTTTCATTTCATAATAGGAAAAGGGTATTATAAACTACTTGTCATAAAAAGGGGTGTTGGTTCTGCTAGTGGGAAGCCACTGCTATTCCCTGTGCCATGGACCACAGATTGCGTCCTCTCCCAGACCATAAAGCATAAGACCCTTTACTGCACTCCCTCTGCTCTTGGGATCATGCTGGAATTCACTAACATGCCCAGAAGAATGCCTGGGCCCAGCTCACGGAGCATGATTTGAGAGACAGTGACCCAATTCTCTCACCCTGTTGACCCTGGACCCCTGCCATTCCCAAGTCCCCTGCCCACCTCACCACACACCCATGCACGTGCCCTGCACACACCCCATCTCACTTGTTCTCCTCTGGAGGTAACTGGCCAAGGTCTCCACATAACCACCTCACCATGCCCAGGGTTGAGGCTTCTGGTATGCCCCCGCCCACGCTGTGTCCCCTCGGCCCTCACCACACTAGTACATGCCAGCCTGACCTTCCAGCTGCCAGCACCTGCAGCTGTCTGAGGGCTTCCTCTGGCTGGAGGTGGCAGGAAATGAATAACCCTCTGTCCTACTCCAGCAGCAGCCCTCAACCAATGACTGACAGAGTCGGTGGATGAGTACCCCAGCTCCCTCCCCCTTTGAGTGGAAAACCTCCAGGGACATGTCCTATACTGTGTCTCAGAGGTCCCTGGTGGGGTTGAGCTCAACTTTTCCATGGTGGTCCTGGCTTGGCAGCGTGCCCTTTATGGCCTTCTCCCTTCCCTGCCCCACTTCCCTACCCCTAACCGTGTTTCCTGGGACCACCTCCCAAATAAACTTAGAACTGAATCTTGGTCTCAGCATCTACTTCTGGGGGAGCCCAGAATAAGGCACTGTCCAACTCCACTGGGGCCAAGAGCTGCTCACAACTCTTCAGCATGCCCAAAGGAGCGCTCCTACACTGTGCACCCAAAGGGGCACTCCCTTCCCCTGAGCCCACCAAGGTCGACACTCACCACTTGACAGCCAGGTTCTGCACCTCGCCGTTCTTATCCTCCAGGAGCCTGAGCAGCATCTTCACCACCTTGCGCTCACTGTCCTCGTCCAGCTGGATGGAGTCTTTCTGCAGCTCTGACATCAGGTCACTGGTGGCCATGAACCTGGGCAGGGAGGGCAGAGGAAGATGGCCCAGCAGCTCCTGGGCCCTGGTGGATCTGGGCAGTATCTCAGAGTTCCTCCAGAAGTAGATCTTGATACGAGGATTCAAGAGCAAGCAGATTATTTGGGCAGTGGGCATGCCTGGGCTACCACAAGGAGACTCAGGTATGTGTGACAACAACTGCCATATGGTGGAGGCTAGGAATGGCACAGAATACTGGCTAAATGCTAGGGACTCAGAGTTGGTGGCTCCTGCCTCTGCCATTTATGCATATGTGAACCTGGGCAGGTCACTTCAGCTCTCTGAGCCCCTTCACCTGTCTGAAAAACGGGGATGAGAACAGGACCTGCCGCATGGGGTGTGTATGCATGTGGTAAGCACTCAGGAAATGGCATTGCCCATTATTACAGTGGCACGTTGCAACATTCACATCTCACAACAGCTGGGAGAGGGGCCAGAAGGTTGAAAAGACACCTTGCAACTGAGTCAGGTGTCACCAAAAAGTCTCTCAACCAGACAGGTGAGGGGGGCTCGTCCTGTACATCCTAACTCAGAATCAACTTTGAGCGGATCTCACACTGCAGCCAGCATCAGAATCACAGGGGGATTAAACAGGGCTTGTTAAGCAATGCTGGACCCACCCCCAGAGTTTCTGAGTCAGTAGATCTGGGCCCTAAGAATTTGCATTTCCCACAAGTTCCTGGAGGATGCTGAGGATCAGGGACCACACTTTCAAAACCACTGCCCTAGGTCATGCTGTTGGGCCACGGGCATATTTTGGAAACCAGCCACCAACAGCTGACCAGTTCCCAACCACAGCTCAGGGTGGGCACCACAGGTGAGTGGGTCCGTGTGACCTGATGTCCTGTCCTGGACATTTGAAACTGCAGTGGGAGCTTGAGCTGGAAGGCCATAGAGAGTGGGGGCTGCAGAGAAAACAGGACAGAGGAGCAAAGAGATGCCACAAAGCTGGGACCAGAAAGTGGTGCCCCGGACACAGCCTCCAGATCTGCCAACATGCTGTGTCACTCCGCCTCCTCCCCCAGCCCTGATTTCTGGCATGGCTGAGCGAGTCAACCAAGAGCTCTGCCCCAAGCCTCCCGTGGCAAAATCGGTCACAGTCAGGATTCCGGCCTTCATCTTTGCAGGCTCAGACCTGCTAATCGATGTCACGAAGGCCCACGGTGCCATTACCAGAAGGGCACTTGTTGATGTCATGGCTGTTAACAGCTGTATTAGCCTCAAGCTGCTGACAGAAGGAAGGAGGCTGCACTGGAGGTGAGGAGGGGGATGGCAGGGCTGACTGTGCCCACCTTTGGGCCAAGGTACGGTGGAGGAGGAGGCTTGGATTTGAGCCATGCCAAGGCCTGAGGTGAACACAGGATCCCTAGGTCTGCTCAGCTGAGGGGACATTCTGAGAAAGCAGGCAGGGTCTCCATGCTGTTTCTGACCCCGTCCACAGGGGCCCAGCTCAGCCCTGCAACCGAAGGGATGTGCTCCTTTGCTCAAGATGGGCTTCCTGCCCCTTTTCCTCTCTACCTGTTGAACCCCTATTCATCCGTCAAGCCCAGCTCAAATGTCCCAGCCTCAGGGATGACCCTGGTCACCCTGCCCTACCTGCCACCCACACCCCTTAAGCACAGTTGGTCCCACTGGACAGGATCCTTTCAGAGCACTCTGCACCCTTCCATTACAGCACTTCTCATTCTGCGATGCAAGTCTGGTTACCAGAGCATCTCCTCCATCAGACTGTGAACTCGCCAAGGGCATGAGGTTCACCTCTGAGACTCCACGCTCAGCAAAACACAGGTCCCCAGAGAGTCTGAGGGCAGGGTGAGGGCAGGGGGGAGGAGGGAGAGAGTGAGCCCTTAGCAGTGACCAACTCTTCTGAAATATGCCTCAGCATTTCTGACACCCCCAAGTTCCAGCAGACCTCCAGCTCTCAGAGAAAGAAAGCCAGATTGCATATATGTGTGTGTAAGGGGGTGCTGGGGGAAGGAGAGTATATAATTTGGTGGGTAAGAGCTTGAGTACCCAAGTTTGGCTTTAAGTAAATATACTGGTCTTGCCACTTACCAACTGAGTAACCTTGGGCAACGGCTTCCTTCTCTCTGGGCCTCAGTTTTTCCGTGTATAAAATGCGAATTTTCTTTGCTCCTACCTCATAGCATCCTTGCAAGGTTTTATTAGGACAACCAGCTCTTAGCATGAAGCAGATGAAGAAACTAGGTTCAGAGATGTTGCAGGAAATGCCCAAGGTCACACAGCAAACTGCGCGGAGAATCAGCCCATCAGACAGGTCTCCTGGCTCCTTAACCAATACTATTATGTTTTCGAGAAATGATTTGGGAATTCCTACAAGAGCCCCCAACTTTATCTGTTTTGACTGTTGGAATCTGAACTGTTCTAGAGCAGTCTGTTGCCCATAGAGCTGGGGCCCAGGAAGAACAGGGATCGAAGGCTTCTTCCACCCTGCCAGGGACCCCTATTTGCAGTCACCACCCTCTTCAAGAACAGAGGACGGTCTCAGTTTCATTCCAGAGAAACCCTAGAGGCAACTCAGCTAAAACATTCGGCCACATGGGCACCTGGACAGCTGGTCAGCAGGCCCCAGCCCTCGTGGTATTCGGACTTTAAAAATAGACACCGTTCTCATATGCTCGGGGTGGTTTTAAGTGTTCTCGAGGCTGCTGGCAGAGACAGGCTGAAAGGGCTTCTTAGACGCTAGCAGGCAAGGCCCATTTCCTCCCCCGGAGTCTGACCGAGGTCTGAGAGACAGTAGTGCAAATCCCCTCTGGTCGGCTATGTGATCTTGGGCAAGTCACTGCACCCCTCCAAGCCTCTGGAGAACAGGAAGAACAATCGCTACCATCCAGGCGGATGGGTGGACTGAAGGAGACTGCATGTGGAGAGCACAGCAGGGAGCCTGTGACCCAGCAAACATTCACTGAGCACCTACTGTGTACCCTGCCCAGGCTCTGGAGCACCGAAAGTGCACAGTCCTGGTGGTCTGGGAACTCAGGGTCTCCCAGGGTTGAAAAGTGACAATACCAGGGGAAGGTACAGGATCTCAGGGAGATGCCTAACCCTGCCTGGGGTCAACAGGCATCCCAAGAGGTGACAACTGAGTAGAAGTAGCAGGTGAAGGGGGGAGATCAAGAAGGTGCAAAAAAGAGAGGCGAGAGGCGTGGCAGGTTTTGGATGTGCACAGAATCCTAACAGTGTCCGTCTATTAAGTGCTTACCGGGTGCCAGCCACTAATCAAAGCATTTCACACGTGCTGCCTCACTTCATCCTCACAGTGGCCCTCGGAGGTGGGTTCCGTTACTATCCCCATTTTATAGAAAGAGAAGCTCAGGCTCAGAAGGGTTAAGTAACTTGTCCACAGTCACACACCCAGTGTGGTGGGAGCCGGGATCTGAAGCCAAAACTGCGGCTCTGAGGCTCTACTAACATTGGGGGCTCCTGAGGGTGTTGAGAAATGGGTTGCAGGAGAGGGCAGGGGTCAAACCACAGGAGCAGTTCTCAGTCCCTTCACCGGTCTGGGCTGGAGTCAGGGCCTTGCTAAGATCTCAGTCTCTGTATTAGACTCACCTGGATTTGGACCCCAAGTCCTCCACTTACTAGCTTTATAACTGCACCTAGGCCCTTCATACATCTGAGCCTCAGTTTCCCTATCTGTAAAATAGGGATAAAATGACAGAATGTTCAGTAAGTAGGTGTGGCTACGTTGGTCTCTAAGGTCTCCTTTCAGCTTGGAAAGTCCAGAACTGGCTGTTTGATGCCGGGCCAAACCCTTCTTCTCTTTGGGCCTCAGTTTCCCCTGAGGATAAGGGGTTGGACCAAATGTTTCTGCCATTTTTTCCAGCTCTGCTCCCCTGGTTTTGTGATGCTGGAGGGAGGGGGAAGAAGGAAAAAGGGAGTGGGGAAGGGGAGTGGCAAACAAAACCTAGAAGCCCCCACCCCAACCATCTCCTCCCCAGCTGCAAAGCCAGACTCAGCCCAGCCCCCTCCTTCAGGCTGTGTCTGAGCAGTCCCGATCGGGAAGGAGGAGGCCTGGGTGATTTTGAGAAGAGGGCAGAGCTGAGGGCATCGGTGAAAAGTCAGAGGGGGTGCTGGTCCCGGGAAGGGGCCGGTTCCAGTGGGGGAAGAGGCAGGCGCTGGGAGCCCAAGGGAGAGGCCGAGGACGGGGAAGAGGGCGGGGCTGGGGCATCCCAGGCAGGGACCGGCGCTTGCCCGGCGGGGGACGAAGCAGGCACTCGAGCCACGGGGCGCAGGGCGGCGGGGAGGGTGCAGGGCTTAGCGCGGGGGCTGCAGCGTCGGGGGGAAGGCCGGGGGCTGCAGAGGGCTGCAGGCGGGGTGCACCTGAAGTCCTTGTCGCTGGACGTCATCTTCTCCAGCAGGCTGGAGATGTGGAAGGCGGCGGCGCTCATGGTGGCTGCGCGCCGGGGCGAATATGGCGGTACTCGGGGACAGGGTGGCGGTCCC